TCCAGCAGCTAAAAGTTCGAGAAAGAATTGTTGTATGTCGAAAAGAATTATACGAGAGGAAAGCTAGAAAAATTCTACACCTCATGGACCTTTCGATTACGGACATAGATGGAAAACTAATTGACTTATGTCAATGGAAAGATTCCAAACCCGAACAAAAAAAGACACGGCATGTCGCGAGCAACGTTTTGGTTTTTGGCGCGCACCGTGTTCACCGTGTTCTCCAAGGTCGTCACCTTCCCGGAGGCGGGACCCGGCGGGACGGGACTTGGCGGGACCTATAAAACCTGATATAATTTCATTTTTGGTTCACAATTCATTTTTGAGTCCATTGGATGATCGAGTACCGTCTCCAGAATTTCTCTCTCTATCAGATCAAAGATGTCGGCCTGGTCAACCTCCGAACCATATGTTGAGAAGTGGTATTTATTTTCTTGTAGAAAGGATGAATTGACCGTGCGCTTACTGACAGATATTTGTACAGCGTATGAACTGAGGCCTCTTTTACTGCACCCGGATCGGGTAGACATGACTCCAATGGAGATTGCGGAGTATCTGTGTAGGGTGTCGTCGCGCGTTCTCGTGAGCGGTGACAAACTCCAACGTCTACCCAAGATAGTTGTAGACGGTGTTGCAGACTACGGAAGCCCATCAAGCCGGGATACAGGCAGACTGCTGCGCTGCTGGGACGACGGGCGCAGATCAATGTACAACGTGATGAAGGCTGCAGGTGTTCTGGATATTGTCGAAGAGACATTTCAAAATGGTGAGCAGATCGAAGCTCAGGAACTCATCCGTGTCATCAAGGATCTCAATGAGCGCAAGGTCTTTCGAAAAGACGGGGATACACAAGCGACGACGAAATCTGTCCGCCTCTCAGTCATGTCGACGAGGATAACCCGTGTTGTTGTGCGTGTCGGCACGATCGACATTGACGATGAAGGATATCCTGAGAAGATGCCGGAAGTCTCGTGTGATACTGTAGTAAGCCGGAAGCGCAAGGCCGATGATGACCTGGATGAATCAATTGTCACGATTCAGGCTTCGAACACATGGTCAAAAAAACGGAAAATGATCCGAAAAATTGAAATTACAAGTCAAAATACTGCAAAACTATGAGTTCTGATTAATATAAAATTGGAAAAAGTGAGATAACATTGACATTAGAAATAGTAATATTTTAGACAGCGGAATGCAATATTATGATGTAGGGCAGGACATAACACCCACCCCTAAAAATCAAAATTAATGATACATGCAGAATTCCAAATCATGACACCATATTACCTTATTGTTTAGGGTAGAGCATAACACCCCAATACATATTTTCAATAATACCCCCTTTTTTTTTGAGGTAGGGGCACCCCCTGGCACATATTTTTATCCGCAAAAAAACCGGGCCAAAAATAATTTTCACCGCAAAAATGGGGTACTATTAGTACCCCATTTTTCAATAATACCCCATTTTTTGGGACCCGGGCGCCCCCTGTCCCAGAACCCGCTCGTTCCTTACTACTTAAGTGAATAGGATACTAATAACTGCGAGTAAACGGGGGGGGGGGAGAGAGAGAGAGAGAATACGATGTATCTGTGATACTACGTGCGGGTTACTGAACTGCACGGGGAGGAAGAGCAGAGCGATCAGCAGCAACTCGAACTACTCCCTACAGGCGTATGGTACACATGCATGCTTAAACTCAGGTAGCCGGGTAATTGTGTGGACCTCACCAGGGAGAGCGTTCCACAGCAGAGCACCAGCAACAGAAAATCTCCGCTGACCGCGGCGGCTACGGTTTGCCTGGCTTAGTAGGCCATTTGACTGCTGATGGCGGGTAGGGGTGCCTTGTGCTGGGGTCAGAAGCTGGGCTGCTGCCTTAGTCTCTCACTTGGCGCCGCAGCCTGTCTCAGAGTCGCGCCGCAGTGTGCTTCGTCTAGAACTCGACAGAGTCGACACGCCAAGGAGCCCTCGATCTTTGATGGAAAGCCTTCTCAGTTCCGAGAGTGAGCCTTCTCCATGGAGCTAGCAATGAGATCGTTTGGAATTACGGCACCAGCAGCTATTTTAAAGGTGGAAATGCCAAGTAAATATTCAACTTGTGGCTGATAGCATCGCTCGATACCGGCATGCAGTTTTCGTCATGATAAGCCGAGCCTGGATCTTGCCGGACCAACCAGAATGGGGCTGCTACGGGGCCTGGTTCGGTATGCGGGAACGCAGAGGTTCGCTCACAGGTCGCCAAGCCGCCATTGGGCCTATGCAGATGGCAGGCCAGCCGCCGACTATGCCAGAGCACGGAAGCTTGCCCTCCTGCGTCGGACGGCTCCACGGCTTGCGAAGCTCACTCCTGAGGAGAGGGAGCGTCTAAGCTGGCAGGGTGGCTGCTTTGCTTACAGGAAGCTGCCTGTTTTGTTTTCCACTATAAAATAAAGTATACAACAAAGCTGGGACAAGTGGCAAAGGATTGTCGTCTAACCCAAACGCCGGTCACCAGTGCCAGCGGAAGAACAGGGTGTGTCACCGTGTTGACTGGTGATGGGGCAACTCGGGTGGACTCAACCCCTCGTCAATCCAAGTTGGCAACCGGTTCAACAGCCTGACGATAGAGGAGCCGACGCTTGAAGAGGACACCGTGGCAACGGATTCCAGCTATTAAAGGAAGAGTTAACGGTCGGCAGGCCTCAGTACTCTGGCTCTATGCACAATTTCGCATCGGACTCGTTCGTACGGAACCACAACATCCCGGCGGTGACCATTGCCGACATGATGTAAGACTACTAAGGGTCACTCTGGCTGATGGCTCCTCAACATCATCAAATCTGCACCGGACCAGGCATGTCGAGGTCGTCATGAAGGACCACATCAAAATCGTTGTTTCTCTTCCAAACCTCCCTCTTATGGAACTGCCTCCCACCAAGACTAACTGCAGAACCATCCATTATTGTTTTCAAGAATGAGCTTCGCAAACTCGCTTGCAAACATAGTGCTTCGCTCTCCGGTATGCCTACGCCATGTACATAACCCCCCCCCCCGTGTGCTCCCCAACGCATTCACGCTGCACAACTTTTCACTACTTTCACTTTAGCTCATACGTGTACATGTACATGTACATGTACATCCTTCAAAGCGGTGAACCCCTTGATAGGCGACAAGCCTCTGGGTCATCCTAATAAAGATATTATATTATATTATTAAAAGGACTTCAGTGACTCGCAGTCCTTCACCGTATCCCCATTGACCTGTTATGATGCAATACTTGGCAAGCCCTGGTTGGTGAGACGCAGCCCTGCAATAGACTTTCAAACCCAATGAAGTTTACTTTTTTTTTTAAGAAACTCTAGTCGCTAAGGTCCTCACCAGCCATCGGAGCCACCGTCCAGATAATCCATATCAGCTGCCGTCACCTATGGAAGCCATGATGATATCCGGCACTCAAGCCAGCCATGAATTGAGGAAAGGCGCTCAAGGAACTTGGCTTGGGTCACCGCTGCAGAGGAAGATGTCGGCAAACCGCCCACGGCTGATTTGCAACCAGATCATCAAAGGCAGCTGAGCGAATTGCTAGGCCAGTATTCGAATGTCTTCCCAGATGATCTTCCAACTGACCTGCCGCCACTGAGGAACATCGACCAGGAGATCCTGACGGAGGAAAAGCTACCCTACCATCTCGAGCAGCTTATAGCCTTCCCAAGCCAGAGATGGAGGCCAGATTATGGAGCTTCTGCGGACTTTGTTGAACCCAGTAAGTCTCTTTATGTTGCTCCGGTGTTCTTTGTAAAACATCTGACAGTTCGTTATGGCTGAGTTAGTTGTGATTGGAGGAATTTGAACAAGATTATACAGTTATAATTGAAGGCATGTGTGACTTATTCCATGCCGTTCAGGATAGAATGATAATTTCACCAAGCTCGACTTGTGTGCGGGATACAGTCAAAATACTAGCAGAATCCGTCAAGAAGATGTACCAAAGACGGCTATAAAGACGACTATAAACACCCCACTTGGCAGCCTACGGTTGTTTACCTCAAAACCGAGCTGAATCTCACAAAAAGGGAAGCAAGATGGGCTGAATTCCTTGCGGACTACGATTACGTAGTGAAGTGAAAGCCTGCCAAGCATAATACTAGTATTGCTGATGTACTCTCCCAAGGTCCTGACCTGCTGTAGTAGAACTGTAGTGAGTGATTGATCAAGTTGTCCACTGATCCTACCAGAACTGCATCAATTTTTAATGCAATAGAATGTGCACTGGAACCCAATGCCGGAGAGGGTAGCCAAAACGATTTCCGAGACTCATACCGACATGATGAGCAGCCGCGGCTAGCCGCGTACCCAATAATTCAGAGATACTAAAGAGGTTTGTCAAATCCTGTGGCATTTGTCAGTATTGCAATGGTGGACAGCCTTGGTATGGATGGCTTCAATCCCTCCCAGTATACCAAATACCGTATTTTCGGAAATTATCGCCAGTCTTTTCTTACCGCATGTCTGAAATATTAGTGAGCGCCGCACCATTTCAGGGCTTTTGCATGCCTGTGTTTTCAAAGTGGGTGAAATTGTAGGCTTCCCAAACTGCTAAGCAACATGGCCGGTATTGCTGACAATACGGTGAACCTTGGAAGGACATTTCAATGGATTTCATTGTTGGGTTGCCTGAGACAGTGAGACCCCTAGACCGGCTAACTAAAGCTGCTCACTTTAGTCCCCACTACTTCTAACGTTGACACCAAAGGCTCACAAGGGTTCACAAGGGTTCAGCTGATCTCTACACAAGATGTACATGTACTCCATTTTCATCTCACTTATGGATCTCACTCCCGATCGAGCATGGTCCCCTAGTGGTGCATACACCAGTCACCGTACCAGTAGTCTCTTCCTAAGCCTAGGGCTAAGGGTAACCACGTTTCCTCTTGGTCTCTTTCCTTAGGGTCGTCCCTTCCCTAAGCCAAGGTTGGCCTCTCTTCCTGAAGGCAAGTCAAACCTAACTAAAGGAGAGGCCAGATGGGTGGGCAAGCCTTTTTTTTTTTTAGGAAGGATGAATGGCTAACAGTGAAATATCAACAAGAACGCAGACATACAAAGCAGCAACAGGCGATTCAGAGCACTAGTATTGTAACATAATCTTTAATTTTGGTGAAAAACTAGATTTCTCGTTGGCACGGAAACCGCAAAAATTCCAGACATGGTGAGTGACACATAAAACATACAAGAAGCTGGCATGAACCTAAACAGTAGTAAGAAATCAATGGTGTCTAATTATACACGGCTAAGAACACAACACACTCAGTAACGACTAAACCAAGCGCCAGCGGGATCCAAAGGACTGCGCTCACACGGCTAGCTCTGCAGGTCTACCGTGGAAGTGGCATACAGGTTAAAACGCGACGCGCTATCGGTCGCCAATCAGTATCAATTTAAAAATGGCAGAATCTGTAAAATCCGAATATGAAGATTTGTAGCAGCAGCCAAAGAAGCAGCTTCTCCTCAACAGTAATAATTTGCTTTTTTGTGAATGTTGCTCTCCATATTAGGTTAGATGTCATGATTATTATTAGGTCGGCCTCTCTTTCTCACACACGCACTGTCTCTCTGTCTCTGTGCTAGCTAGATAGATACACGGCAGAAATACAAATACTCGTGAGTGAACAGTTCAAAAGTAAATTATGAAATAACAGTCAACCGGAAGGATGTCTGTTTGGTTGTATAGCGGAGCGGTGTAACGTCTCATCTAGTCGGAACCCAATCAAGGCAACTGCAACAGAATATAGACAGCACAAACAAAGACACAGACAACAGTTAAATTAATGTCTTACAAAGCTATGTTGTCCTTGACTTGCCAATCATCTAAATTGTCATACCACAACCATTCAATGCGGTGAACCCCTCGATAGGCGATTATTGCCTTTGGGTCATCCTAATAAAGTTATTATTATTACTTCCTTCCGCCCAAGCAAAATTTTCGCTTATCTTTACACTTTTTACTGGTACATTCCAGGTTCTCAGAACGGCTCCTGACGACTCAGAATGAGGTGAGGAGTCGTTGAACATCAAGAGAAACTCTCCAAGTCGAAAAATCTAGAAGTCATTCTTCGTCAACAGCCGACGCAGTACTTGTTGTCGGGTAGTACTTCGCACTTCCCAGAAGCGCAAATACTTCGTATCGACACTTTTCCAAGCGCTTCACCTCTACTCCTTCATGAGTACTCCTTCTCTAGCCTAGTCTAGGTGTTTCCTTTACTCTTTGCCGACTTCGCCGACTTGTTTGGAACTGGTACGCCTGAACCAGCAGATTTGTGCGATGGTGAAGTGCACAAGATGCAAAAATTGCTGTCAGACACCTGTCAGTGGGCTGAAGGAGATAAGCGAAAATTTTACCTGGGCAAAGGAAGTATTAAAATACTCTCTCTACTACTGTGAATCAAGAATATTTCGTATGCTTAAAAAAATCGCATACCGTATTTTCTCAAATAAGAGCCTGGGGCTCTTATTATTTCAGCGATAGCTCTCTACTACTTTGTCTGACTCATTAAAATGTGCGTTTCGCTTCGAACGTCAACCAAACAAATTCAAATAATCTCAGGACGGAAGAAACTTTCCAGCTACCTAACACAATCCTTCAGTTGTCAATTTGTGATGTTGAAGAAGAAATGGCTCCAACCCCAAAGGAGGCAGCGGCTCAGGATCCTAGTCGACTCGAGCATTTTGCGTCCAAATTTTGTCGTCAGAGGACTCCTGTTGCTTCTCGCGCAACACAGAGAAGGCCTGGTGCTGAAATCAACACCCCATTGCGATGGGGGATTGTCACGGAGTACCAGAAACTCCTCGGCGATCGTTCTCGAGTGCCTCCTGGCGGATTGAAATCGCTGCAATCGCTGCTTCCTTGGCAGAATTTCAGCAAACGCGTCATCCAAACTCGTGCAGAAAGCACCATAATCGCTCCGTCCAGTTTGCTGATCTCCCTCGCAGTCGTTCATGATGTGGCGGCCGACGAATCAAGATCACAGAAGAGATCGTCGAGAAGTTGATCGAAATAAATAACCGGCCTTGAGGTCGACTTTCAGGCGACGACCTGGGTGGAAAACTGAAGCGCAGAAAGGGTGAATTATCCGGCGGATACGGTGCGGAGTCCTCGGAGCCGCGATCGCGATGCGTCACAAGATCGCCAGTCTCCGGGGCCAGTGGATTCGTGAAACGGGCAGGGAAGAGCACGCATGGTCTGACTGCATGACATGTCGACACAGATCAGACTCAGTAGTGACAGTACGCTCGCGGCACACGGTGATGAGAAGTGATTTTTTACGCGTGGTGGTTTGCTTGCTCGCCTCATTTGAAGGTGTCGTGGGAGCGTCACACGCCGTCAGGCGAAAACACCTACAGCCACCATTCTGGCAGTCGTACTGCACGAGGAGGAGGCGAAGTCGATCGTCTAAATCGTGCCTATGGAGTGAAAAATCAAGGAAGCGCAGTGTAGCTTGGAGGATGATGAAAAAAATGTCGACGTTTTGCAGGTTGACGCACTTGCAGATGCGCCCTGAGACACCAGCAGCGATGAAAACTAGAAGGTCAGGCCAAGAAACGACACAGTAGTTATCTATCTACCGTCTCTTGGTTGATTTTTTAGTACAGGTGCTCCTTTGTACATATGCTTGAGTGACGAAGTGAAGCGCACATTTTAATAAGTCGGACCAAGAAGTACTATTAGAGACTGTTGGAGACTGCTAATATGTTTTCAATGTTCCACTATCAAGCCAACTCCAGTCTATATAGGCACGAATGGACCATATCAAGACTGATTTTCTCAACCGTAGACTCAGGAATATTGTCATACTGATGTTTCACAATAACATGGACACCGGAAAGGAAGTAGTAGACCGAAAACCTCCTTACAAATATGTGCTTGGCATGCTGTGCTGCTATTTTATACTCAGTCAATATATTTGTTGCCTACACCAATTGTGGCCCGCGCTACTATTAGAGACTGTGCTCTAATGATTTCAAACAACCCCTCACCCAGGGTTATTATTGGAGACCTGTGCTTTTATTAGAGAAAATACGGTATCCGATGTCGAGGCTGCATGCGAAATTAAAACGCGCACTAAACCGAAATTTATAGACAAACAGTATGGTGGACAGTTAGTTCATATTAGTGTGAACATATTGTGCAGATAACTGGGTTTCAGGCGAGAGCGTACAGATTATTCTTGATTTTCAGTATGTACATGTGTGTGTGTGTGTGTGTGTGTGTGTGTGTGTGTGTGTGTGTGTGTGTGTGTGTGTGTGTGTGTGTATGTGTAATTTGTTTGTGAGTGATGTACTGTGAACGGGGCTGTAAAGTGGTGATGCCGATACTCCTAGCAGCACGGGAAAAATTAGAAATTAGAGTGCAAAATTCTGCACTCTGGGCACTTTTGGCATTGTGTTAAAAAAAGTGGTTAGAACGGCTGCTACGCCCCTGGAGAGTGAGTGAGTGAGAGAGTTCAGAAAGGGTTGTTTGTTGTTTCTGCATGTAGAAGGAGTTTAGCCAAAATTCTAGCCATCTCTTCTTGGCTTTCTGATGGCTTAACTCCTTTCTCATGCAGAAACAACAAACACGCTGAACTCTGACTGGCTGAAGGGCGATTGATTTCAGTCAGGTGTGAATTTCATAGCCAGGATAGGTCCCCCCTGTCTGTCTGTCTCTGCCTCCCCCCCCCCCCCCATCCACTAAACACCCTATGCACCGTAATAAACCTGATCTGACTGCTCACTTACAACGTGTTCCTCCACCGACGCGGCAAAAGCAACTCGGTGATGAGATGGCGGAGACTCGGTGGGTGAGCCGGGTGTGGATAGCGCCTCCTCATCGTTCTCTCCCTCCTCTTCTTCATAATAATCACCATTTGCAGCAGGGCGTCTGGCATGATGAGTCTTGCCGGACGCCGCTGAGGCAGCCGGATGCATGCTGCGGCTGAAGCGCACCGCGTGCTGTACGGTTGACAGGTCATCAGCAGTCAACGCCCCCTCCTCGTCGGACACGTCGGACGAATAGCCGAGCAGCTCCTTCGGGAAGATCTGCTTGTAGCGACTGCTGCCAAAGCGGCCCGGGTCGGACGTACTGAAGAAGGTACTGGCGGATCTGCTGTGGCGCATGCTGGACGTTGACTTGGAGCACTCCGGTGGGTCAATGCGTGATGCCAGCTCCGCCAAGTTCGTGAAGGAATTGTTCACACTCGGCTGGGAGGATTGAGAACGCACACACACGCACGCATGGACACGCGCGCACGCGCGCACACACACACACGCACGCACACACGCACAAAATTACATTCCAACTGATTTGCTGCTATATTGTAGCAGGCGAGTGAAGAACATCAAGATTGACAGGGAGATACTTTGCAAGCAGTAGGTCAACAGCATCATCAGTTGAGTAAATCCAACGCCACAAATCGTACGACCAAATGAGTGTTTCTTAAACCGCAATGAGTACACATGTACTCAATCACCACAAATCATAAAGCTAATAATGCTGATCTTCAACAGCAATAGTAGAACAGCACCAGTGGATGAGGTAATCACCCCTATGACTATTATTCACTGGTTGTGGATGAGGTAATCACCCCTATGACTATTACTCACTGGTTGTGGATGAGGTAATCACCCCTAGGACTATTACTCACTGGTTTAGGCCTCCAGCCAGTTATTGTGGAGTTCCTCTTGGCCAACTGACGAGTGGTGCTGTGACGAGTGGTGCTGTTTCGGGGCAGCTCCTGCCCCTGAGGTAGCAAGGAGTGCAGAGTTCCATCTCGTCTCCATTCCTCCACAACGGAACGACCGTACTCTAGGCCGGTTGTCTGCAGACCAAACAACAGCCAGTATGCAGCAGCAGTACCACCACCAGCAGCAACAGCAGCAGCACGTAGCAATGCACGGGCAACAAACACTGCAACACAGTTTCCTTGATCTGTATCTCTGGGAGCTGGGATACTACATTTTCGAAAAGCACTCAGGATCATCACAACTTGGTGACATCACTACAGCTCGCTGTGTATGTGTCAAGATGGGGAAATCCCGGCCCGAGGCGCACTTTTAAAAGAATACCTCTTATATGCCTGGTGACCCTACCTAAAAACTATACCAAATTGAAGAGGAGACATCACCATCACTCCACCATTATATGCATAAAAAACTTTTGGATCCGCTTGGGTCAAGTGCATACAGACACATACAACCCCCCCCCCCCTCACACACACACACACACACACACACATAATACCTGCACAGAAGCGTGCACCCACCCACACCACATAGTTGAGTCTGTACCCTAATGCATGCACAAACATAGGCTGGCAGAGAAACATAAATCCCAGTGAGGGAAGGCTCGTACCGCAATGTCGTCAAACTGCAAGAAGGATAGAAGACCATACCTGCAAGGTGTAGAGAACCAGACAAGAAATCAATAGAATTAGGGAGAGAGGAGAGAGGAGAGAGGAGAGGATAACAGTCCTGCTGGCACTGCAGCCAGAACGACACACACATTGCTTCAGCCATCATACAAGTTACTCTACATGGACACAGTGATGTTGTTCACAAGGATGTTGATAGTGGCCTGCAGGGCGCATCAACACCATCACTACCACCACCACCATTGTCACCACCATTGTCACCATCACCACCGCCACCATTGTCACCATCACCACCGCCACCATTGTCACCATCACCACCGCCACCATTGTCACCATCATCACCGCCACCATTGTCACCACCACCACCACCATCACCACCACCACCCATTGTCACCACCACCACCACCACCATTGTCACCACCACCATCACCACCACCACCATTGTCACCACCACCACCACCACCACCACCACCACCACCACCACCACCACCACCACCACTGTGGTGTTTGTAACCCCAGACATTGTGAATCACCTGAGGGCCAGACTATTGTCCGTAATGCTAGACCTTTTGGAAGTGTCGAATGACCGCACTTGGCATTCATCCATTCATGCATGCTAGCTATCTCGTGTGTTTGGACTACCTCCATTATCTTCCTTTTAGTGTTGCTCTACTCTGTAATATTCAACCAGTTGCGTACTGGACAAGTGAACTACGGTTGTGCTTTGTTGTTTTGGGTGTTGTGAGTCACGGACTAAAACACTACAACCACCACCACCGTCACCATCACCACCACCACCACCACCAACAACCACCACTGTCACCGTCGCCACCACTACATCACATGGACAAAATCGACCATTGACACGGCCAGCAACTCACTTGTCAATCGGAGGTCGAAGGTAAACGACGTACTCGCTGGTCTTGGCCTGCTCAAGCTGGCGTACACAGGACACGTACGCCAAGCGAGACTGAACCTCGGCCATGTCAGGAATCTACAAACAAACGCAGATGATGAGAATTGACAACAGCAGAAGCAGAGTTAGTGACAACAAAGAAAATAAACTGTGAATAAGAGGTTGTTGCGAATTCGACACACAACTCCCCCAAAGAAAAATAAACGTAACAGTCACGTTGATATCAGTACAAACAGAACGTCACTGAGCCTTTAACACACGTAACCAGCACGCCTCCAACACGTGTAACTCTCCGGAATACCCAGACCACACACCAACACCCAGACCACACAGCTTGAACACACTAAGAAAACCTCACAGGGAGCAAAACGAATCAGTAAGTAGGGATATCAGCGAACGCACTGCGCAGGCGACTGCGCAGGTGATCACGTGCACATCTCACGCGGCCGACAAGCCGTGACCTTCCGCAACCGAAAAAAATCGCTAGTAAGTCAGGATGGAAAAGAAGGACGGAATGGCGAAGAAGTGTCTGAGGAAGAAGACCAGCTAGAGCCGAGCTTCTTCGAAGCTTCCCTCTACGACGCTGGGCGATGGCTACAAAGGTGACTACGAATACATTCATCGCTTATTACACTGCTCTCGACTTCGTCCACAGGTTTTCCGAGGCACTTTCTTCCAGCTCAAAAATGGACGATCGTCAGCTAGATTTCGTAGTACGACGGCTGGTACCTGGCAAGATCTAACCAGGGAAGTCCCCTTTTGAAGACGTCATTGAATTTGCCTGACCATGTGGAGTACACGTGCCAAGATTGGAGGAAATCCACGGAGGTGTTCGCGCGAAAATCTAAATCGAAAGATTACTTGGGCACCATGTACGTACATGTACCACGCGTGGCGCTTTTGAAGTTTCGAATGACAGTGACTTGTTCTCGCATCGAGGACCTGTGCCCAAGTAGTTTCTGGTCATGGCTGTCTAGACAAGGGAGTAGGGGCCCAAGTCTTGGAAACTTGCTTGGCATGGCTAGCAACAAGTAAGTTTCAGACGTAACCAAAGGTCACCAGGTGGCCTGTTCGCAAGGAAGTACGAGTACTGTTCTTTGGTGCAAACATAGCTCCATCCAGCTACGAACGTCTTCTTCCTTTGTCATGTCTTTGCTTGAGAGCGTTTACCAGTCATAGGCGCCGAAGAATATTAGCTCCTGATGTCTCCTTTCCTGAATGAATCGAGGTCAAGCAAACCAACAAACAGGCTTCCTGTCGAGTGTCGATTTTATTGTTTACTCCTGGTCGGCCTGCGCTGTGCCTGACCCAAGACATGATTTCAGCGATCGCCATTTTTTCTTGTCGGCCGTGCGCCTCATAGATTTTTGTATGACGTAAGACATGCGCGAACACGCTGCGCAGTGCGTTCGCCGATATCCCTACAGTAAGGTGTTTTCAGCGTGGCTAGCATCAGTGACAGACAGTGTCACATAGAGGATCACATACTTTGTGAACTACCAGTGGCGTGCAGCTCAGCAGCAGCAGCAGCAGCAGCAGCAGTACAGTACTTATTTTGTACAGCACACAGCATAGGCACACAGCATAGGCACACAGCATAGGCACACAGCATAGGCACACAGCATAGGCACACAGCATAGGCACACGGTAGAGGAGGAGCCGCTCGGCTGATGATCGTTCTGTCGTGAAACTTGGAAGTTAGGAGTACAACTGCTCATCCCCCTGCCCTGTACCCTGTAGCATCTACCCCGTTACTTATTCTGCTAAATACGAGCGTAGGGACGTCGCTACAGAGTGTACACAATGTTGCTTATTCTACTAAATAGGGATGTCGCTACAGAGTACAGACCGATGATGGTCTTCGTCCAGAGAGCACTGAATTGACTTACTTTCACTGGTGGTGACCATGGCCACAGCTTTTTCCAGAGAAGATACCATCCAGAAAGAGTGTCACCGTAGTTTGTGAGGTTCTTCTCGTCCTTGGAGCCCACATCGATGGCGATCACTGTCTCTGCTCCCAGCGCACGCATGACATCGGCTACACAAACCCGTTATAACACGCACACGCACACACACACGCACACACACATACACACACATACACACACACACACACACAAACACACACGGAGTTACTGAATAGGCACACGTTGAATGAATCATATCTCAAAACGAGACTCGAACCCACAATGCATGTTTATCACAATACCCCATTTTTGGGGACAGGGCACCCCCTGTCCCAGAACCCACTTAATACTTCCTAGTTCCTACTCATGGTTAACAAGAAGAGTTATGACAAATAGCCTCTTCACAGACGAAAGATGAAGAACGGTCGGGAAAGAACGACTACTTACTAGGCAGGTTGTTAGTGTACCCGCCGTCAACAAGAAGATGTCCGTCAACCGGATCACACATGGGAGGGTAGTAACCAGTCAATGTCATGCTTGCTCGCACATAACGCCAAAGACTGCCTGAAAATACAAACAATGAAAGGGTACATGACACAAACCAGTTCAGACAGGAGCAGTCCAGGCAGCAGCAGGCCACCAAACAGAAACAGAACCCAACAACAATCACTGGTATTATTGCAAAGAACTTCCCAGGAGACAAAAAGCTAAATACTGCAAGAAAAGAACAAATCTCGAACTCTTCACCGCCATCATCAATACGCACGAACTCAAGAAATTCGTCGAAGAGAATGCACGAAGCTGGTTCGTGAAAACATTTCTTGAGTCCTTGAGTATTGAAAATAGTGGTGACGAGTGTGAGATATGTTGTTCTCTAGCAGTAATTATTGCAAATGGTAACACATAGAAGAGGTAACAACATATAATACGGGGAAAAAACATTCCACGAAAGATTGAAAGAATGGTGCGACAACATCAGGAATAAGCACCCGCAGTAAGTGAGTGCATGCATTAAGATTTAAGAACACATGGGATTGGGAAGAGCGGTTGGGTTGTGCCTTACCAGAGTGATGCGTCTTCATGCTCTGCTCCGAGATGTCTGTCGTCACAGCAAAGTACGGTAACCAGAGATCCTGAACATACACAAACAAGAACACACATATGCGCTCGTTGTGAACATGAAGAAAATAACAAAATCTGTCTGAAGATTTCCTAGTTGTGGGGCTTCAAAATCCAGTCATACCCTTACTGAGCAGGAAATGGAAAAGATAGTAGGGGTATTTGTACACATTGGATCGGGAGGGGTGCAGTGTCATATTCTCCTCTGACAGCAGTAATACATGTATAATCTTCATAGCTCCACCAGCAACCGCACATAAGTTAAGCTGATCCTAAAACACCTGTTGAACGGCAAATGGGTGGCCCCAGGCCGGAGTACTGCAATCGACCACACACCTCACAACGGCCAGCTCCTCTCTACATGCACAGTGAACACACACACACACACACAAACACACAAACACACACACACACACACACACACACACACACACACACACACACGTACGCACACACACACACACGTACGCACACACACACGCGCGCACGTGCACACTATCTTACCTCAATCTGCTTCTCCTTCAATAGCCACTTGATCGAGTTATTGATACTCTTGCCTGAGTGAACGCATGACCAAAGGGGAAAAGAACAAGATCAACGAGAGGATCAAGGAAGGAGAAAAAGAACAAGATCAATGATCAACACTCAAATTATGCACAGGTACAGACTGGGCATTGTCTTGCAAAGTGGACGACAATGGGACAAGAATATAAAAACACTGCAGGCAATCAACTACACGATACAAGATACACATATGCATACAGTCATGTATAGAGATTATGTGATTACATCATCAGTGGAGATGCTTCGTAGAAGTCGTGGACTCGCGGCACTTGCTCTGGCGACTCACGATCACGCTGCATACTTAGCGAGCACTCGAAAAAAAACTAATATCTGCTGACTCGCGCTCGTACACTTGTGTCCATTTGAAAATCCCGGTGAAATCACTCGCATAACCGCCATACTCTTACATTGAAAACGGATTCATGAAGGAGTCTTGAACCTCGAGGACCCATGTATGTGTATATGTCAGTGGTATTCCATCAATGGCTTTACTGTTTGTAAATCCAGGCACAAAGGCACGTTTCCCTTTGCTCTTATTGGCAGAGTCCATAAACAAGAGTATGCAACTGTGATCTCTTTTCTATGGGCCAGATGCGCGGCACGCTGCCTTCATTACATCATTCAGCTGCAGTCCGCGCACTGCGGAAAATCAAACACCGCACTTTCCTCTGGTTTGAAATGAACTTTCGTACGGAACTGGAGTTCACGCGCCAGAATTTAGAAATCGCGTAGGTACTGGAACGAATCGAGCAAAAACAGATGGGCTCGTGCGAGAAATTGTGAGTTTGAATGCATGCTTCAGAGCGTGATGAAGACAAGTTACGTAATGAAGGCAGCGCGCCGCGCACTGACCCATAACCACAGTTGCATACTCTTGTTTATGCACTCTTTTTATTGGGCATAGTGGCTTCAGCTGGCTTGCCTGAGGGTGTACCCAAGGAAAGCCGTTTTCAGCATCAACATTTTTAAAAGTCTCCGGCAAGCAAAGCACTGCAGCTGAATGCAAACAAAGACGTGATGGCAGATGTGCCTTACCTGACAGTAGAGACATGGTCGGCCAAGTGATATCCACCACCTTTCTCCACAGGACCCCAAAGTCCTACACAGCACAGTAGCAGGCACAGTAGCAGTGACGTTACTCAACTGTATTCGACAGCATGCTGTAAACTAGAATTAACCTGGCATGTCCTACGCCATGCTCAACAAGTCCAACTTCATTGATGTGAAAGTGCGAATATTCTCAATTTAGGCACTTGCTCGCTGACAGCACATACGCTTGTTAGCACTGCATACATAGAAGATGATAAGGAAAACTCCTGGAAAAGTTCAATGCCTGAATGCAACATGGGATAAACATTTCAATTTTACTTCAAGATGGCAGAGAGTAGTGGAACTCACCAAGGCCCACTCTCTAGAGCGTGACCAGAGTGCATCGGCGTTCCTCTCTTCACAGTACACAGCGCCCATCAGAGAGCCTATGCTTGTGCCGCCAACCATGTCAAACGGCACACCTTTAAACACAAAAACACAGGTGTGCGTACGCAAGCACACATAAACACATAGTGTCGGTCACAGAAGAAGCTCCAACAGAGATAGGATTGTTATGTGTACTGTGTGCGCCAACTGCACCTAGAGTACTATCGGGGAGGGGGCGGGGGCAAAGAATGGTGCGCTGAAGAGAGGAGAGAGAGAGAGAGAGAGAGAGAGAGAGAGAGAGAGAGAGAGAGAGAGAGAGAGAGTCACAGCAAGACTCACCCGCCTCTTCTAAGGCCTTCATCACACCAGGTTGAGCACATCCTCTGCATTGCAAATGACACGACAAAGCAGAAGAAATTCAACAGCAATACCAGTACCGTTACACAGCCCTGAGTATTTACTTTTTACATAATCAAACGTACAAAGTTATCACAATGCCATGTGCACTGTATGGTATTTTCAACTTTTGAACAGGCAAGGGCACTCCACACAGAATTCCCACAGCACACAGAGGATTTTAAACTCCACTGCAGCATACTGTACAGGCAGAGCATTTCGTCGGTCAATAATTTCGTCCAACTCCTAAGAAAGGGATTTCGTCCGGTTGAAAATTTAGTCCATGGACTATAACAGTGTATTGAAACGCTGGACAAATTGACATTTGTCCGGCATTTAATTTAGTCCCAAAGCTCCTTGGACGAAAAAGACGAAATTAAATTCCAGACGAATATTTCTGCTTGTACAGTATTCTTTAGTATTTTACACTTGAAAACATCTCCGTTGTATTTACTCCACAACAGACTCTCAAGCAACAGTTTAGTCCGTGCAGCTGAGAGCTTGTTGTGGAGTTAGTGCGATGGAAACATTTTCAAGAATACAGTGGATTGCCCGCTGGCTCATACCCCACTTCCTGGTGTTGTGCCGCTGAACAAACTGACGGCTTCAGTCCTGATTTCGCTGAAGTGTAACCGGAACTGCTTTGCTCATGGCCGGCCAGAGGACAGCGTCACATGACCCAAGCACAGATGCCGGGTCTTCCCCAGAAGTACCTACACAGAACAGCTCGGGTGCCTTCGGAGCCTTTGGCAACAGTGACAGATCATCATCAACATTGGGAAAGTGATGCAAGCAGTACAGTGCTTCAGCACATAAGGATAGGACACTACAGAAAATCATAAAAAATGTTATTTCGAGCCTGCCTGTGAGTGTGTCGCTATATCCAAGCTTCACTACATCGTGAGTGACGAGAGTAACAAATGCTATAATATTACTATAGTACTCGTGACAGCAGCAGAGTACAGTCAACTTCGCTTATAATGACACTCGGCGGGGCATCAGAAAGGGTGTCCTTATACCCGAAGTCTCATTATATGTGTTACAGTTAGACGGGACTTTGCTCTGGGCATGAAAATTCTGTCGTTATTCGCGAATTGTCGTTATATCCGCAGTCATTATTAGCGAAGTTGACTGTACGCCAATATTTCTTTTCGCCGATAGGGAACCAGTGAGGAGAGGCATTGACCATGTAGACACGGCCTGACGCTAAAAAGAATCTATCACGGAAATATACAACACACAAGAGACAGACACACAGCAGTGGTTGTGACACTCGACTTACCGAGCTCCACCACCACCGAGCACCAAGGCAATGGATGTTCCCGTAAGACGACGCGCAAGACGAGCAAAGTCACTTTTCCTGAAACACAACAAACATAACCAGACGTCCAGAACTAGACCAGACTCCTCCACCAATGTCAGCACAAAAATGTTGCCGTATTCACATTGATTGTAAATTGAAGTGCATACACATAGGTATACATGTGCGCGTGTGTGTGTGTGTGTGTGTGTGTGTGTGTGTGTGTGTGTTTGGGCGGAGAAAGATCCAGTGCATAAACATACTTAGAAAATACTTGCAAGGACGCCAAGCTCAAATACATGCATCATCATCATCATCATCAGACAGACAGACAGACACATAGACCCCACACACACAGACACATAGACCCCACACACACAGACACATAGACCCCCCACACACAGACACATAGACCCCACACACACAGACACATAGACCCCACACACACAGACACACACACACACACATGTGCATTATAACCAGACAGACAGATACACACATACCTGTCATGGGAGGCCATCTGCGCGTATTTCTCACGCTCCTTTTCCTATGGCCACAACATCACATGTTCATACAGTTTTAAAATAAACTACTGTGAAATGTAGGCAGCAACGCAAGGAAGACGTGAAGAACATAGAAAAACTACTACAAAAAAGTAAAGTAAAGTTCGCACACCCCGTTACCACCGGCTTACAATTGTATTGAGAAACACAACCAGCTTGCTAGAGTGTGGCTGAAATCATGTGTTTCCCCACAGTACCATCCAAATACTAGCTCAATGGCGTACGTAGTGAGAACACGGATCTAAAATGAAAAACTCAATTCGGTACGTAGTGTGATTACAGTCTTACCGTCATGATGCCCTCTTCAAACACACTGTCTGGACATCGTATCTACAAACACACAGCACAGAGAGAACCACACAAAGAAAGAAGCACACAAACAGAACACAAATCGACCAGTGCCATCACCACACACATATGCACACAAATATACTTGGAGTACGCAAATCCGTAGATCCCCGAGCTGCAGAGAGTGCTCTATGTCAAAAACAGACCTTAGAACATAGCAGACTCAGCGGAGGACGTTCAGGTTGGTTGTAGCTCTGAGTTTCATGCTGCTAGGCAATCATCAGACAACTGATACTGGGGTTCTACCTAGCAGTACCCTTACAAACACACAGAGTCACGGGCGTAAACAAATCTACAGCTAGGTGCAGGTGGGCGCTAAGTCTGGTGGCGTAAGGTATTGGGAGAAAGCTAGCGCGGGCCAAGGCGCTAGGAGAGACAACAGGCAGGTGGAAGTGTCAGGAGGATGGCGGGCAACAGACGGGTGTGTGCACTAAAGCCTAAAGGCGCTGAGGAGGCAGTGTACAGCAGATGGGTGGAGTACACATAATTATGTAAACGTGACGGATATATGGACGCAAGGGTACGGGAAGTCACAGCTGAAAAGTGTCCAATCCTTCTTTACATGCGTACATACAGTTCTGCACCATGAAGTGTTGAGCACACTCTCAAGCTGCCAAAACTCACGTCAAGTGTGTTGACGATAGTTAACATACTGGCAAAAAGCAGGTCTTCTTTTGACAAACAAGCACGGCGAAAGAGAGAGAGAGAGAGAGAGAGAGAGAGAGAGGGAGAGGGAGAGAGAGAGAGAGAGAGAGAGAGAGAGAGAGAGAGGCGAGAGAGAGAGAGAGAGAGAGAGAGAGAGAGAGAGAGAGAGAGAGAGAGAGAGAGAGAGAGAGAGAGAGAGAGAGAGAGAGAGAGAGAGGGAGAGGGAGAGGGAGAGGGAGAGGGAGAGGGAGAGAGAGAGAGAGAGAGAGAGAGAGAGAGAGAGAGAGAGAGAGAGAGAGAGAGAGAGAGAGAGAGAGAGAGAGAGAGAGAGAGAGAGAGAGAGAGAGAGAGAGAGAGAGAGAGAGAGAGAGAGAGAGAGAGAGAGAGAGAGAGAGAGAGAGAGAGAGAGAGAGAGAGAGAGAGCAAACCTACAAACCTAAAGTAAACTTACATGATGGTGAGCAGAGCACCAGCCACGATTGACCAACCACTCAACCGTGTTTTCCGGTGCCACTGTGTTCGGACGGTGAAGCAGAACTAGCTCCTTCTGTGCACGCACCGACATCTTATCCAGCTCAGCTTCCAGCTACACAACAAGGGAGTACAGAAATCCACATTACACCATCAACACCAGGCGATGACAACATGTCTGCCAGCTACACAGCAATGGAGTACGACAATGTACACTACACTATCAACACCAGGCGATGACAACATGTCTGCTAGCTACAGAGCAATGGAGTACGACAATGCACATTACACCATCAACACCAGGCGATGACAAAATGTCTGCCAGCTACACAGCAATGGAGTACGACAATGCACACTACACGATCAACACTAGGTTCACACCAGGCGGTTACAAAAATTCTGAAATACGTTACAGCTTTGATTTTCTGAGCACACCGCACCAGGAGAAATACTTGTAACTGGAGCTAGGAGCACTGGAAGTGACAGCAAGTTGTAAACATCCTGTTACCACAGTTCAAACACTGGTGAGGAGTTGCAGTATGTGTCAGAGTTGGAGAGCCCACACAGGGCAAAAGTGAATGTGCCTACTGACCTCTCCCACGCCAGGGTCCTCTTCACTTCCAAGACCGACAATGAGAATGCAGTCAGCCTAGCACAGAAAGAACACATGCACACACACACACACACACACACACACACACACACACACACACACACACACACACACACACACACACACACACGGATAAAATACGAGTTAGCTGCGGTCTGGCTTGCAGACTCCAAATAAGACAAAACAGCAGACTACCCATTCTACATACGGCTTATGCGTTTAGCAGACTAAGTGGAGGATGTTCAGGTTGGTTGCAACTCTAAGTGTTCATGCCACTAGGCAATCATCAGACAACTGATACTGGGGTTCTACCTAGCAGTACGCTTATAAACATATAGGGCCACAGGCATAAACAAATTTAGCGCTAGGTGCAGGTGGGTGCTATGGGTTACGCAAATGTAGCGCTAAGTCAGCGCAGGTGGTTGCTATGGGTTATGAGTATCTAGCGCTAGGTGAAGCTGGGCGCTATGGGTTATGCGTAGAGGGGTGAAGAAAGCCTCACCTGTCGTATGCAGCGCTGTGTCCACATGGACATGATCTTGTCTGTCTGATACAGGACAATACGGTGTACGTCCTCTTGCTGACTCAGCCAGCTGAGTAGCCGGTACTCGTGTACTCTGCAACACAGTATTGTACACACACACACACACACACACACACACACACACACACACACACACACACACACACACGCACAGCAAGAGAAATGGCCATTGAGTATCGGCAATCAGACAATCTCAGCCGCAGCAACAATTTCTCATTAGGGAGGTTTCGCTCTACGTAATTACATATAAAAATCCGTATATTGTTCGCGCCGGGGAGCGAGGGCAACTTTCAAAAGTAAAACTCTCTACGGATTTCCGTAGGAAAGCTGTTTCCTACGTTGGGTCCTCCGTAGGACATTTTGAAATATTTTTCGCACTTTCCAGATTTATCCCGCAATGTTCAAGCCGCGTGAAACACAAGGCACACACCACGTGGAAAACAAAATGGAAAATGCGGTTTCGGTTCGTGTTGCATGCGGTGGACGCATGCAGCCAACGCGTCTCCAAAGCAACAAGGCATGCTTAGCAGTCGTGGAGAAATCATGTAGAGCGAAATTCAACAGCGGTGCTTTTACGTATGAAAATTACGTGCAGTTCCTACGTTATTTTCATACGTAATTACGTAGAGCGAAACCTCCCTATTATCGTTCATTGTTCAACACCACTGAAAGCAGCTGGCACCAACATCTAATCATAGCCACAGCATACCAATACATACCACCACCACCACCTCACCTCCCCCCCCCCCCCCACACACACACACCACCGGCAGGCTTTGCAAGCTTTGCTGGATGATCTGTTGTCCCGTGGTACAATCAGCGAGTCCATTAGTCCCTGGGCGTCACCCTTAGTTCTCGTTCCAAAGAAGGACGGCGGGTCTCTCCGATTGCGTATCGACTACAACAAGTTGAACAGTGTTACAGAGCCAGGTGTGTATCCCATCCCAAGAGTTGATGACATGTTAGACTTACTGTCCCGGCTGTTTATGGTTCACTTTCCTGGCTTTAGCATCAGGTTATTGGCAGATCGCTATGGACGAGGAAGATAAGGCAAAGACTACCTTTAACAACACCGCTGGGTTTGTTCGAGTTCTCGGTTATGCCAATGGGATGAAGAAATGGTCCGGCAACGTTCCAGCGTGTTATGGAATCTGTGCTTTATGGCTTATGTAATGTGCTTAAGCAGCCATTCTGTCAAGTATTCTTCAACGATGCACTGAATGCCAGCGCTACCTTGACTGGACAGCTCCAGATCCTCAAGTCTGTATTCGGCCGCATTCGGACTGCTGGACTGAAGTTTAAATTGAAGAAATGTTCTTTCTTCCAACGGATGGTGCTCTTCCCTGGCCATCAAATTTCGGCTGACGGCTTGGCTCCGAATCCTGTCAAAGCGGAGGCTATTGAGCAGTGGGATGTACCTAAGTCTGTGCGTGTGTTTCTGGGACACGCCGCGTATTGCCGTCGCTTCATCCATGGCTTTGCTCAGCGCTCCACTTCGATGACTGTTATATCAGGCAAGAACGCAAGCTTTACGAGGACTGAGAGTTGTGATGCGGCGTTCACTTCTCCGAAACGTTCACTGACAACAGCCCCAGTGTTGGTGTATCCTGACTCTTCTGTTTCGCCTGGCGGCTTTATTTTATACTGTAAACCCTCTAATTTTAGCGACACATTAACCTTAGCGAATTTAGCGAATCAGTCAAATTCGCTAAAGTTAGGGGTCGCGAATCTTTTTGTGTTTGTTTTTGTTTTCAGTGAACGGTACCATCACATACATGTAGATGTGCACTGCACTGCATACCTGTCTGTGTTACTGTGTAGCAACTCAGTTACTACCTTTCTTCTGAGCTTTTTTTTCCTTTTTTCACTAGTACACATACTGTAGAATATACAGTTGTCTAAAGTCCCTAGGTTTTTTTTACCACCCTAGGTCACAATTTGATGTGTAACAATGCAGCACAAATCTGTACTGATGTGTTGCCAGAAAATCGCGCTGTTTCTCTACCCTGGCTATGCTCTATACTCTCAACATCTTTTTCCTCTTATAATCACGCTGATTTTGTCATCCCTTTTCCTCGCGCTATTGAAATGTACCTCCATCACCTTTGCCCCCTTCTCCCCTTCTCCGTATATATATTCTAGTGAGTGTTAGTCTTGGTCATATGCTGTCTGATGAAGTGTTCTGACACGAAACTCGGAGTAACAGCGGAATGAGACTTGTTTGATTCATTGCTGTGTAATATTTGTACCGTAGAATATATATACTAGCACTCCGTTTGCTCACATTACCCAAAGCACTGTCTACCCTGATCGCTAAAACGTCGACAATTCGAAATCGCTAAATATATTGGTCGCTAAAATTAGGGGGTTTACGGTACCGATGCAAGCAAGGTGACCATTGGAGCTGTCCTCAGTCAAATTCAAGATGGCGATGAACGCCCCATTGCCTGTGGCAGCCGGGTATTGACGAAGGCAGGGAAGAATTACGATGCGTCACACGCATATATTAAAACAATCAATATAATTATTTTACATGGCCTAAGGCTCATTTACAGATGCAATTCAAACATCTTTCCAGTGAGAATACCCGCGTCAATACGTACGTATCTAAGGCAGCTGAGCCAAGCCTCTCCTCCACAATGTTGCTAGTGAGACGCAGCACAGGACCTGAACACACACACACACACACACACACACACACGTACACACACACACACACCACAAATCAACAGAAACATGCAATCAGCCAGCGCGATACACATGACAGTCAATCACACGGATTGTAGTGATCAAAAAGGACACATCACTCCACCTTATACCCAAAAAGTACGGAGAAGGCAGTACCAGGAAAGTTGAGGAAACCCATGCAAACATCACGATATACTTTGCCACTTACCGATGTACTTGAGCGCTCGGCAAAGTTCAGTGGTGAAGTTGGAGAGTGGCACGTCTTTGGATGCCGGGATAACAGCAATGTTAGCCAGATTAGTGGACTGCACGGGGCCCTTGCCCTTCCGATAGGACACTGTAGTCGAGTAAGATGCATACGCATGTACCCATGTATGCACACACATACACAGACACATAGACACACACAGGGACACACACACAGGGACACACACAGGGACACACACACACACAGGGACACAGGGACACACACACACACACACACAAAGGGACACGCAAACACAGACGCACGCGTGCATGCACAGCCATCTTAGCACAACAAGAGGATGCTATACACAAGACAACGTGGGCCGCATATATCATATCCCATCTCACTTCACGGCCTCCACTGACGCTATGCCATGAGAAGGTGAAACAAATAAATTAAAAAAAGCATAGAGGAATGCCACAAGGGACTGGAATAGTCAGCACAAGTGAACAATAAAGTGAAATTTTCAATGATAATCTTGCAAACACTCAGCATAATTAGTAGCCTAGTTCAGTTATGTGCATGCTTGCTCAGCAAAAGTAGACAGTAGTGTCTGAAAATTGAGTATCCTGCATACGTCGCATGTCGTCCCAGAGAAGTAATACGAAGGTGCTCGTGTTAAGCACTCTGACTCTGACTGGTCTTCCAGCTACATGTACAGCATAATGATCTGCAAGTCACTTACCACCACCACTGCGTCGGTATGAGCCGATAACACGCTGTCCCAACCAGTGAATCAACACACTCACCACCTGTAACAACATACCAGTAGAAGCAGTACAGAAAGAACACACGTTTCTGGTGTGTCACATGACAGTTGGCACGGAAACAGCGAATCTCAGCGCACACTGTCAGCAGGCCAGGACGGAATATAATTGAGAAG